CTAAAGCTGTGCGGCACTCAAACACTGACAGCTTCACGTCTGACACTCTCTCCCCCTCACTGCATTGGGAGAGTCACAGATGTAAGACTTTAAGTCATGTCTAACTACAGTTTTGTGGTTCATCAAGTCATTTGTCACGAAACCTACAAAGTCACATGAACAGACGTAAGGGTTGCAGCAGCTTCCGGACCCTCAGGCTCTGGTAATCATGCAGGTTTTTATGCTGAATTTGGCCAAGTTGTTGTCTTGAATGGAGAGAACTGCGAGGCTGACATATAAATGCCCATCTGGGAGATTTCCAAGCTTGTTGCCAGAGATGTACAGCTCTTTGAGAAGCGGCAACTCAATGCTAAAGACAGTCAGTTTATTTCTGGATAAATCAAGGATCTGTAGGCTCTGTGGTAGGCAGGATGTCACCTCAGGAAGAGAAGTTGACGAAAGGTTTAAGAACTTGAGACTTGCTGGCCAGGAACAAGTCGAAGGCATGCTGTCAAATGAGTTTCTACTCATGTCGAGGTTTCCAGCTTTTCTAGTCTAGTGAAGAGTTTGCTGTTGATTGAAGACAAAATATTTTTGCTGATGTTGAGTGTGCGGAGATTTAGAAGGACACCAATGCCATAACACATCATTTCCATAAGTGTCAAATCTCCGATTATGTTGTCACTGATGTCCAAAAACTCCAAATCTGAGAAATGAATAGTGGATTGGCAGGGAATGACAAACAACATAGTGTTTATCATAGATGCCCTTCTTACTACAGTCAGTATATTTTGCATGAAATGGAGTTCAGGAACACGGTAGAACACGTTAATATCAATGTTTTTGAAGACGATGACATCCAAGCTGGTCAGGTTTATGTGATGCAGACGGACTTCCTCTTCATTTTTGAAGATGTGAGAATCTTCAATGGCAAAAAAAGTCAGATCAGAGCCTGAAAAATATTCACAAGTTGTACACAAGCTGACACAGACATGTTCACATTTTTGAAACTAAGACCTGTAGCACCACGCTCGATGGCCACGTGAAGTGGGAACATTTGCAAACTTTTGTTAAACTGTGTGTCAGTGAATGTCACTGTTGTGTTTGGATGAACAACGTCTAACAATATAGCTCGTACTACTGCTAAATCTCTGTGAAATACTCCACTGAGTCTAAGTGTTACATGGCTAATGGGTCCAATTTGTCTCAGACTCCCTCTGTTAAACACTTGCAGATGATTTCCTTCAAAAACAAGTTCCTCAAGACCAAAAAGGCCAGAAAAATCCCTTTTACTGACAGACTGAAGGAAAGGTCCTCCAAAATGGAGGGTCTTCAAGCTCCTCAGTGGCAGGAAAAGGTTTCCCTGACCAAGTGTTGAATATTTGTTTCCCAAAAGATTCAAGTAGTGGAGAGAAGTCAGGTTCTGAAACCAACCAGAAGACAAAGTCTCCAACTGGTTTGAGGACAAGTCCAGTTTCTCCAAATGAGTCAGTGGGTGAAATGCGTCTTCATGGATGGTTTTGATCCTGTTGTTATTCACGAACAAAGCCCTCAAAGCGGCATATGAAAGAAAGTCATCTTTCATTATCGTCTCCAGTGCGTTTAAAGAGAGATCGAGCTCAGTGATGAGTTTTGAAGCGGCTGCAGGGACTTCTCGAAGGTTTTGGCTCGAGCAGTCGCAGGATGTTTGTTCACAGTGGTGACACTGTTGACTGGTGAGCGCCGAGCACTGAGATACTAACAGGACAAACACGAGAAACTTCATGACTTTTTCTCCTGAGTGCCTGCAAAACACAAACACAAAATCAAACTCAGAGCTTTTCTTTCAGGTGCTGGTGTGACACAATGTAATAATGAAACAGCCATGCTAACAGCTTTGGAGCACAGCTGGAGGCTTCGTGCTAATGTCATAAAGTAATGTGGTGGGGAAATGGTGCTAATGTCATATCAGGCTTGTTTTCAACACTTTAAGAAGTGGTGGAATATGAGATTCACATCATACATGTGTTCTGTTGACATCTGTAGCACTCTGTGATGCTGTCATATCAAAATCTCTGAGGAATGTTTACAGTCTCTACAAATCTTTAATCTGTGCATTTAAAAAAGAAAAGAAATAATGGAATTGGTAAATATTCTTGAAAATGAATTTAATCTTAAGTTTTTTTTGATATTTTATTTGTTTGTCATTGCATCGTTTAAACTTATTTAGAGGTGGCAAAAGTACAGACTTTCTTTACTTAAGTAGAAGTACTGATACAGGTGTTAAAACATACTCCAGTAAAAGTTAAAGTACTGAAGCAACGTTTTTACTCAAAAGTGAAAATGCACAGTAAAACTAAAAAGTAGCTCCTTTAAGGACAATTCTACGAGCCATTTTCTTTGTTTTGCTATATTAATATATTTAAAAAATAATATGAATACATGAGCATACAAATGTTATTCAAATCTAAATTGTAATTGTAGTGGATGTACTCAGCTTGAATCTGTTATCTAGGACAGACGCAGTGAAATAACTATTTTCTGTTCCCTACATTGTAGAGGCTGACTTTGCTTCCACACCTAAACAGTAAAGTGAGCACAGTCAAGGGTTACAGTGGGATTCAGCAGATGGGGGAACACTAAGATCTGTGTAGTTGATCAGCACAGGGAAAAGAATCACAACTCACAATAATTTCTAATATGAGCTTCGGAGAAGTTTCTTATATACAGGCTGTGATCAGCAGCCCTTCTGCTCTTTGTGGAGTCACACAAGTGAATTCAACAAGATGTCAACAGATGTTTCACAGATGTCTTTGCTTAGCTCCATTTCCTACACTGACACTATACACTTTATACCTATTTTAATACTAGACGGTTGATATAAAGTCAGAATTCAATGAATGTATCTAAGCATAATCAGCTTAAATGCAAATTGATCTCTGCGACACTAGATTTGCAGTTTATCAAGCGTCACTGAGTCCTTACCTTTAAACCTAACCTCTCCTGTCCTGTCCTCTTACATCTTTCTCCATCTCTGAGTGAAGTTTGCTCTTTTTCTTTTCTCTGCCTGTAAAATACAGCAGCTGGACCTTTAGCTAGCAACACACAGTGAGACAAACTGAACACAGACAGTTTGTGTGTTTGCTGATGTTTGTTGAACTGATAGAAATGTTGCACTTCTGCCACTTAAAAAAAACCCTCGTTCCCTTTTTCTTCCTCGCTAGCTATTTTTTGACTTCGTTACTTCCCACCTCTTAAATTAACTGATCTAAAAACAGGTTTAATCGGGTTTAGAAGAGAAATGAAGAAAAATAACTCAATAAATCTTGCTGTGTTCCTCACAGGTGAAATGTCCCGTCCTCCTTCTGCACAGCCAGGATATTGACTGCTTTGTAAGGGCCCTCCACTACTTCTGTTGCCTAAATTATGTCTTCATGCCTCACACTGGTCCATATTCAGAAGTAGAGACAGAGAAATAGAGTGACAGTTTCCCTGCAGGGATTAGAGATAAGAAGAACAGAAGCTCGGTCTTAGTTTCTCTGGTGTCTCATTTCTTTCATATATTTTGTCGAGCATTTGAATAAAATGTGTTTATGTTCAAGTGCACAAGAAAAATGACAATTGTTAAATATTCAAAAAACATAAAGGGAAGAAAAAGACAAAAGGTGCAGTTAGGCTTAGGTCATAAAGACTTGACTCCATCCTGTGTGAGAATGAGCCTGAAAGAGTGTGACTGTAGCACTTGTTCATTGTGTTAGATTGAGGGACTAAGTTAAATAAACCGCAAGTAATCCAAAATTAATCTGTGTCAGCGCCAGCTTTCAGCCAACCTCAGCCCTCCTGTGATCAAATAAAGAAAATGAATTTTATAATCACACTAACAATCAGCATTCATTGTTGTTTGTTAGTGTTTGTTCACTTGCTGAAGCTTTAAAAATAGTTCTGTAACAGTAATATCAATATGGACTTGGGAAGTTGCTTACTTTGACCAAGATTGCAACATTTTAAGAGCAAAGAATCTGACACGTGTCAGCATTTAGACAACGGGAAATTCAAGTTCTACTTTTTTTCTGCATGATGGGAAAGTTTTAATGTGGACTTCCACAAAAATTTGTTGTGGTCAGTAAAAGCAGAGCACTGCTGCGGAAAGATGCTGTTAGGGAAATACAGCTTCATCCACAAAAACTGCTTATTAACCTTTATAACGGTTTGACTGAACTGCACTTAAACTCTGCTGCTATGTTTTAGGTGTGGTACGTCTTTCCAGATGTGCAAGATGTCAATTCCATATGCATCGATGCATCCACATAGCGTCAGAGATGCAGAGTTTTGCACTGGGAATAATAAGAAGCTGGATAGTCTCTCATCTTCAGTGGAGAGGGCAGAGGATCCAAGTTTTTCAAAAAGAATTGCAAATGTTGTTTTGTCTTGCGTCAGAAAAGTTTTCCAATTTGCCTCAGTTCATATTAATTAAAAATAAAAACAAAATAATGGTTTGTGGCATTTGCAGATCACTGCATTCTGCTTATATTTACATTTTACATGCTTTTCAGCTACTGGAGACAAACTGAAGGCAGAGACTCACAACCAGTAAGCAGCTGACGGTAGCTTGCACCAAAGGCGAAGCAGAGCAAATGGTGATGTCAACGTGTTCTACCCTTCCAGCAATCACTGACTGAAAACTTTCATACAAGTATTAAAAACAATCTTTATTATAACAAAAATTATATTTTTTTCCAATTTCTTTTGAAAATGGGCAATTTGGATAAAAATGACTATAAGTGATACTTTTATTCAAGCCTTGAATTAAAGCTGAAACTCTACGCTTGCCTTATTTGATTTTAAATCCATTGCGGTGGTGCACAGAGGCAAAATTACAACACAAAATGTGTCATTGCCCAAAGATCTTGTGCAACTGATTAAATAATCACTTTTGTTTGAGTTTTTCACATATACATAAATTGTGTCAGTTACAGGTTTTGGTACTTATGATAACTTTGAAACATTCCAGTGAACAAAAACAAAAAGATCATTTTGCCTTTTTTAAATCTTTATTGTATATAAAACCATTATGACCTGTAATAGACCACTCACTTACCTCTCGTTAGTTTTTATGTCAACCTACACTAGAGTACACGCATTCATGGAGGGAAAGAAAACTTCAAAAGAAAGAAAAGAACAATTCCTGAAACATTCAAACTAAATTAGCACAATACTGAAAGATATATGAGTAATATGCAGCTCCAACCCAAATTATGTACAAAGAGCTAAGCATTTTTTAGCACATTTATATGACAAGTTAAGAGAAAGATTTTACAAGGATTTCAGAAATACAAGGGCAAGTTTTAAAAGATTCTAAAATGATCCATATGCACCCTTCTGTACTTTGTTTTTACTGTCAAATGAAGGGAATTCTTGAGAAAATTGAGTTTTTAAAAAAGATTGACCAAATTACATTCAAAATACGCCATGCTGTCTTTGATAATACTCTTAAAATATCATACTACAATATAATAATCTTAAAATATATTTGTAGCATAAAGTCCCTGACATTGTAGCGCTTAGAAAATGTAAATTATGTGTTTGTACAATCAAAATTGTAAGTATAAACCCTTTTATAGATTGTCTTTATTATCAATTTCAGATGTTTTCATCGCTGTTCTCAGACTTTGCCAGAACGCTGGAATGTGATCTTCGTCGTGAGGCGACTCCAGGTACGTCCTGGAGTTCATCGCTTTCCGCAACCTGATTTTGACAAAGTTCTGTCAGAACGGCAGTTCCGGCTGCTCGACTGCTGGCATCACCTTCGTTTAACCCCACAACGCTGAACTTATAACACAGACCTGCAATGAGCACACACAGCACCAGGATGCCTAAGCAGAGCAAAGAAATCGCTAAAGCTGTGTGGCACTCAAACACTGACAGCTTCACGTCTGACACTCTCTCCCCCCTCACTGCATCGGGAGAGTCACAGATGTAAGACTTTAAGTCATGTCTAACTACAGTTTTGTGGTTCATCAAGTCATTTGTCACGAAACCTACAAAGTCACATGAACAGACGTAAGGGTTGCCAGCAGCTTCCAGGACCCTCAGGCTCTGGTAATCATGCAGGTTTTTACTGCTGAATTTGGCCAAGTTGTTGTCTTGAATGGAGAGAACTGCGAGGCTGACATATAAATGCCCATCTGGGAGATTTCCAAGCTTGTTGCCAGAGATGTACAGCTCTTTGAGAAGCGGCAACTCAATGCTAAAGACAGTCAGTTTATTTCTGGATAAATCAAGGATCTGTAGGCTCTGTGGTAGGCAGGATGTCACCTCAGGAAGAGAAGTTGACGAAAGGTTTAAGAACTTGAGACTTGCTGGCCAGGAACAAGTTGAAGGCATGCTGTCAAATGAGTTTCTACTCATGTCGAGGTTTTCCAGCTTTTCTAGTCTAGTGAAGAGTTTGCTGTTGATTGAAGACAAAATATTTTTGCTGATGTTGAGTGTGCGGAGATTTAGAAGGACACCAATGCCATAACACATCATTTCCATAAGTGTCAAATCTCCGATTATGTTGTCACTGATGTCCAAAAACTCCAAATCTGAGAAATGAATAGTGGATTGGCAGGGAATGACAAACAACATAGTGTTTATCATAGATGCCCTTCTTACTACAGTCAGTATATTTTGCATGAAATGGAGTTCAGGAACACGGTAGAACACGTTAATATCAATGTTTTTGAAGACGATGACATCCAAGCTGGTCAGGTTTATGTGATGCAGACGGACTTCCTCTTCATTTTTGAAGATGTGAGAATCTTCAATGGCAAAAAAAGTCAGATCAGAGCCTGAAAAAATATTCACAAGTTGTACACAAGCTGACACAGACATGTTCACATTTTTGAAACTAAGACCTGTAGCACCACGCTCGATGGCCACGTGAAGTGGGAACATTTGCAAACTTTTGTTAAACTGTGTGTCAGTGAATGTCACTGTTGTGTTTGGATGAACAACGTCTAACAATATAGCTCGTACTACTGCTAAATCTCTGTGAAATACTCCATTGAGACTAAGTGTTACATGGCTAATGGGTCCAATTTGTCTCAGACTTCCTCTGTTAAACACTTGCAGATGATTTCCTTCAAAAACAAGTTCCTCAAGACCAAAAAGGCCAGAAAAATCCCTTTTACTGACAGACTGAAGGAAAGGTCCTCCAAAATGGAGGGTCTTCAAGCTCCTCAGTGGCAGGAAAAGGTTTCCCTGACCAAGTGTTGAATATTTGTTTCCCAAAAGATTCAAGTAGTGGAGAGAAGTCAGGTTCTGAAACCAACCAGAAGACAAAGTCTCCAACTGGTTTGAGGACAAGTCCAGTTTCTCCAAATGAGTCAGTGGGTGAAATGCGTCTTCATGGATGGTTTTGATCCTGTTGTTATTCACGAACAAAGCCCTCAAAGCGGCATATGAAAGAAAGTCATCTTTCATTATCGTCTCCAGTGCGTTTAAAGAGAGATCGAGCTCAGTGATGAGTTTTGAAGCGGCTGCAGGGACTTCTCGAAGGTTTTGGCTCGAGCAGTCGCAGGATGTTTGTTCACAGTGGTGACACTGTTGACTGGTGAGCGCCGAGCACTGAGATACTAACAGGACAAACACGAGAAACTTCATGACTTTTTCTCCTGAGTGCCTGCAAAACACAAACACAAAATCAAACTCAGAGCTTTTCTTTCAGGTGCTGGTGTGACACAATGTAATAATGAAACAGCCATGCTAACAGCTTTGGAGCACAGCTGGAGGCTTCGTGCTAATGTCATAAAGTAATGTGGTGGGGAAATTACAGTTTGACTGTTTGACTGATCATCAAATAAACTCTAATGCTAATGCGTGGACTAATTTTAGCAGACATCCTAAACAAGCACAGAACACACACACACACACACACACACACACACCACAGCATTAAAATGTGTTAAATAAATGATCTAAAAACAGGTTTTACCAGCTTTAGCCCTGCACAGAAGAAAAAATGAAGAAAAAAAAAAACTTCGGTAAAAATTCGCTGTCTTACTCACAGATGAAATGTCACGTCCTCCTCCTGCACAGTCAGGACACTGACTGATGTGAAAGTGTCCTTTACCACTTCTCTTATTTGTGGCTCGATTATTTCCTTATCTCATACATGCATCCTGTCACATTAGAAGGGGAGATCCAGAAATAAAGCAACAGACATCTGAGTACAGTGAACTTACTGCCATGTTTAAGAAACCAGGTTCAGATGATTTGAGCTTTGTGCCATTTTGCATTATCCTGCTGGAAGCAGCCATTGAAAATGGGTACGCTGTGATTAACGATGCTTGATGTACTAATGGGCCCAAAGTGCGGCAAGAATTCTTTTACATTTCATTTCAGACTTTTTGTTTTTAATTCAGTTTAACTTTAGTTGCCAGAGTGGGGTTTGTCGTTTTAGCTTCGTCTTTATTGTTTGTAAATGTTTCGTTTTTAATAATTTTAATGTTATTTGTAGTTAGTTTGTTTGGAGGGTATATGTGAGAGGTAAGATTTAGGAAATCAGTGCAGACATTATAGTTGAAACACAAAAGTTGTCGAAATTTGATGACTCACAGTCTTAGAGATTCGGAGTCTCAATAAACACCTTCATCGCTGCCTCATCAGGTGAGTTAGGCTACGTCCACACTAGCTCCGCGTCCACACTAGCGTTTTCAGTCGTTTTCAGAGTTCTGCGTCCACGTTGAAACGGCCCAAAGCGCCTACGTTCCAGTCCTGCGCATGCGTCACATGACTAAAATGCGTCATCGTTTTAGGAAGTCTGCGTTTTAGAGTGTCCACACTGCGACGGGGCAGCTCCGTTTTGAAATGCATGCGTTTCAAACGCTGCGTTTTTCCTTGAGGACAACGCCGTCTCAGTGTGGACGGGAGGCCAAAAAGGAGAGAAAATGATGCGTTTTCAAACGAAGTAGCCTAAGCTTTCCAAGTTCACAAAGGTTTTTCACCTAGTCTATTTTTCTTTGGTGGTTTTTTTTAAAAGTTTTGATTATTTATAACACCCCTGCCTCTAACCCCTGGCATCAGGGGTCAAGACATTTTCATCCAGAGAACTGAACTGACTGAGTAGTTTCTGTTTTTCGGACCATTCTCTGTCAATCCTAGAGATTTTTCCTCCAGTCTGATGCTCACTGTGAACCTGAGTCTTGTCCATGTCTGTATGTGTAAATGCATTTAGTTGTTGCCATATGATTGGCTGCATTGAGCTGTATGTGAACAGAAAAGGAATGTGTATCATTACCGTGATAATATAAACGTTATATTCATTATACTTTAGGCTGCCTTTGTCAGCTTGTGCGTGCCACATTATAACCAGCGTATGAATTTATGTGTGTGATGGTCAGTGCCACAATGCTGAGTTTATAGTATCATACATTTCCACGTAGGTCTAAATGGAAGATTGGATACAGATTGGGCTGTTTTTCATAAAAAAACACCTGATAAAGTTAAATAAAGCACAGGTAATCCACCTGAAATGGGGTAAATCTATGTCAGCGCCTTCTTTTAACCAACGCCGGACAGGTTTCAGGCCTCCTGTGATAAAATAAAGAAACTGAATTTTATAATCACACTAACAAACAGCATTGTTGTTTGGCGAAAGGTGATACTGGCTATGATAAAAGAATTAAATAAAATGTAATTTAAGTGTCACCAAATATAAATGGGGACATACAATATTTGTGTATTTGGCAATGACTTACTGAAGTTTTAAAAATAGTTATGAGAGTTAGAGAACGGGAAGTCACGTTCCTTTTATTTATTTTTTTTAATATGTTGACTTCCACAAAAAAGTTGTTGTGCTCAGTAAGATTACAGCAGCAAAGATGCTGTTCTCCAGGCCCGCTGAGGTTACTCTAACTGTATTACGTGTTTGTGCATGTCCATGTTTGGTGTTAGATTGTTTATTTTGTTTAGTTTTGTTAATATTTCTAGTATAGTGGATTAAACATCTCCCTAACATCTGTATAAATTATATTTAGAAATATATTTAGAAATACAATGCACTTTTTCAGATTTTAAGGTATATGCACACACAGGCACACGACTTTAGATCCTCCTAATATCCATGTAGTCTGAGGGATCTCAGATGTCTGCATACACCTAGCAGTTGGATCATATCGAGGTCGAATCATAAATCATAAAATGGGTCAAACACATTTTTGATTTGATTTTTCCTGGGTGTTTGATTTATGTGGTCTTTTTAGTTTCACAAAAACCTGACCTTTGACCTTGAGGATCAAAATCATCAATACACAAACTCATCCTCGATATTTGGTAGAAGAATCTGTGGTAAGGTTTGAAAATCCTACATCACCTCATTTGAGTTCGCAAAGTTGGGTGCCTGTGCTCACCAACATCCACTGGCCAGGTGGGTTGATGACAATTCCACCCCACACCCACAAATCTGCCCAAGCTAACGTGGAGCTGCCTGCTATGGTGACTTGCTGTAAAAAAGGAAGCAGCCAAAAGTTGGTTTTAGTTAAAATATTTTCTGCGTTTAAGAATCAAAACGGCTCAGCTGAGTAAAACTCATTATTTGTAGCCAGGGGCAGAAAAGTGATTCAAATGATTGAGAGTAAAAAGAAAGCTGACACTTTCCAGACTTTATCAAAGGTGTGAGCATCACAGCAGAGGCCTTTGTGTCAAAGTAGCTGAAGATAAAACACAGAAAAACATGAAGGTGATTTTCCTGGCCTGGGGTTTTATAAAAATATTCTGCAGTAGATCAAAAACGAAATAAAGTCATTAATCAACATATGAACATTATCTGATGCTGCTGACGTGAAGCAGAGCAAAGTTACAGAGGTTTGATTAGAAACACGGCAAAGCGTTTTGCAATTTTGCATAATTTTAAGTTTAAATTTGTTCAGTATTGAACAGCAGAAATTAGGCTTTCTTTTCGGAAGTAAGTAAAAGGAAAGAAAACAACGGCTGACAGCGCTGTAAACAATGATAGACTTGTGCGTAACAAGCAAGCGAATAATGCAGAAAACAGATTTTTAGACAGGAAACTGTTCTTGAAGTATACAGAGAGAGAGAGAGAAAGAGAGAGAGAGCTGTGCATGAAGTGTGATTTTTATTGTGGTGGAAGCAAAACAGCAAAAGTCAGAGGGAGTCCATGACGATGTTTATGTGAAGCGTAGTTTGGATCTTCTTTTGCTGCTGGTTCGGTCAATATTGTTTGGAGAGAGATGAAACTAACAGCTTTGGAATCAGCGCAAAAAGGGCCTAAATACAAAGCGCGGACCCGCCGAAACATCAGAATCAGCGAGCTGTCGGCTTTCAGCCCCGACCGTGTCCGTGCCGTCGGGTGAGAAAGGCGACATGTCACTGATTCTGATCCGCGGGTCCGCGCTTTGTGTTTACGTCTTTGTGCAGAATCCGTGTTCCTGCTCTCATTTACTGTTTTGGCTGGTTGGTGGTTCTTGAAATTTTGTGAGGTTTAACCTGAGATTCTGACGTTTTGGGCAAAATAAATTAATATTAAAAAAATCAATTTGGGATTTTAATGAATCGATATCACCTTATCCAAGCTAGAATCGATTTTAATCGATAAATTGATCATCAAAACCCACCCTTAATTGAAAGTCACAGGAAAGTAAAGATAAATAAATAAGGAAAATCAAGTAAACAAGTCAATTAAAAAACAAGACGCATGAAGTTAAAGTACAAAACTTTTTTTTTTTAATTTTCTATGATCAAAACTGCAAAACAGCTAGAAAAATATACAACAAATGCTTAACCTTTCACAACATATAACATCTGAAAATGGGAACATAAAAGAAAAACAATATTCACATTTTCCCCATCAATGATAAAAGAACATTCTTTTTTTATTTCCTTTTCTTGACTTATAAGTTTCCAATTATAGTTAAGCTCTGCTGTATTTACTTGTTTTAAACATCTCCACAGTAGCCGGAGTCGTTGGAGAGCTGCGAGTTGGAGCTGCGGTTGGATGAAGAGTTCCATATGTCCAAGTTCATGTGCGGGCCGAAAGGGTTGAAGCTGGAGTACTGCAGCGGTCCGCAGGCCCCCACTGGCTCCCGAGTAAAGGGGGAGTGAGGCGGGGTGATGGGGGACACCGGGGCCGATCGCTCGGGCTGGAAGTGGCTCGGGTAGGGCTCGATCTGGGGTGTCCAGATGGATCCAAACAGGCTGGACATGGGGGAGAGACTGCGGGTACCCGAGAAGTATGGCTGTGGGGGCGGAAGAGAGGAAAAACGTTGTCAGGAGGGGTCGACAGTTTCTGACCTCACCTTTCACTGCACTCTGATACCATCTGTTCCCCACAGTGACGACCTGGCTGCCGTTTGTCTCTCCTTTTCAGCAAAAACAAAATGACCTTTCCAGTTCAGCAAAGACGGCAACACTTCCCCTCATCTTTATGAGTTATGTGATAATCCTCTTCTCTTCTACACAGTCTTACAAATATACCTCAAAGAATTTGAGTAAGTTTCTCAGATCTAGCTGAAGTGTTACTGAACCAAAGTGAGTCACAGAAATGCTCAGATGTATACAATACTGTTAACATCTGTATAAACTCATTTGTCATTGATGCAGCAGATGTTTACGCACTGACACTTCAGTATATATCAATAAAGATGTGGTTTAACAACCATTAGAATCGTATCTGGATTTTTCCAAGGGTAACTGCATAGGCAGAGGCCACCCAGTTATTTCGATCTATAAGCAGCCTGAAATATGAGTCACCACTCAGTTCAGGAAAGTGCTTTGAGGGTTACTTCTAATAGGTTTTCAAGGGGTAAAGAATTAATGTTTCCTTTTCTTTTTGTAGCCAACTCTTCCCAACCCGCTTCACAGGCCGGGCCTGACAAATAAATAGCTGTGCAGGATGCTGGATTAAAAGAAACAACAACAAAAGGCCAAAAGACCTCGTGTTAATCGTGTTGCTCATTTCTGCCACACAGACTGGACTGGTGGAAATAAACCAGCTGCTGTAGCAGCATGCCTCTTTTTCTTCTTTTAACTCTCTGGTGTCCTATCCAGGGTATTTGACTCCACACATCTATATAACAGAGCAATACCCCCGCCCTATTTTTACCCTCGGTAAAGATGTACGTGACGCAGTCTCCTGTACTCTTCTGTCTTCAAGATGAACTTCCCTTTCTCTTATCCAGCCTGTTAGCTTGCACGTGAGCCTGTCTGTTTAGACTGGTTTATGGGAAACATGTATGTTCCTCTGTAGATCACAACTATGACTAAAACTTAACAAGAACCAAAAGAAAGATGTGAACTGGGTTTTAATTTGAAAGGAGCTAAATTTGTCGTCTGTCACTGTGTGTTCTTTTATGTCAGGATTAAATCAAAGCGTCACCCCCTCCGTGTTAGTGTAGCTACACGAAACAGAGGCTACAAACAGAAGAGAAGCTGATTCTATCCTAAATACAGTAACATACTCTTTAACCCAGATTCCCTGCTTCCTTATTTCTGCACAGAGCTGATTACTTTCTGAAAATGATCAGAAGTCAGAACACAGACGTCAGAGGTGTAATTACACTGATCCAATCGACACACATCCAGCTTACATCTCGAACAGGGACATCGAACTCGTCTTACACTGTAGGCCACATGTAGTGTGAATGTCAATGGGGGAAGATGGATCTTTATCAATAGGAAAAGCTGTAAAACATCAGAAAATACAGCTAAAAGCTCAAAATCTGTGCACTTTTCTAAAGCTGTCCAGTTGGC